GGCTCTTCCCAGGGGGATCTCTTTAAGGAATGGCTGAGTAAGTCTCAGGACAGAAAGGAATTCTGGGAGGCCTCTGCAGTTGAGTTAATTTGACGTAGTGTAAAACTAGTCAGGGAACTACGTTCAAAAGATACTGGAATAATCAGTTTTCTCTGTGCAATTATCTTAGTAATTTGCTATATAGTTAGGTTCGTTTGTTTGGATTTTACTTTTTCATTTATTTACATGTTTCACAATATTAAAAGATATATTCAGAGAAGTCATACTTCCAGACTATCTGCTCTTCCTCATCTTTTTCTGTTTTCAATTTCATTAAATGCACACAAATGCAGAGTAGTTTCCCCTGATTCATAGGGATACATTTCAAGGCTCTTAGTGGATGCTTAAAACCACAGATAGTTCTGAACTTTATGTATTTTATTTTTCTATTAATACACACCAGTGATTAGGTTTTATTTACAAGTTAGTCCCAGTAGGCGATCGGGGATATAGCTCAGTGGCATAAGTGCCTGCCTGGTGAGTGTGAGGTAGTGGGTTCTATCCCCAGTCCTTGGTACCAAAAAAAAAAAAAAAAAAAGAGGGGGGAAGGTTGGGGATTTAGCTCAGTGGCACAAGTGCCTGCCTAACAAGTGCAAGGTTGTGAGTTTGATCCCCAGTACCAAAAAACAAACAAACAACAACAAAAAAAACCCAAGTTAGTTCCAGTAAGAGATGAACAGAAATAATTAATAACAAAGTGAACAATTATAACAATATACTATAATTAATTCCCCAGCTTCATTAGTATTGTATTTTGGGGACATTACAAAGTATAAGGGGTCACTTAACCACAAACATTGGGACACTATGACAATTGATCTACTGTGTGACTACTAGGTGACTAACAGGTGGGAAGCATATAGTGAGAATGCACTAGTCAAACGTATAATTTACATCCTAAGTAGGAGAGCGGGATGGCAAAAGATTTCATCACTGTACTCAATGGCATGCATCTGAAACCTTACAAATTACCTCTGAAATTTTCCATTTAACATTTTTAGATCACAGAAATCATAGGTAACTGAAATCATGAGAAGCAAAACCACAGATTGAAGGGAATGCTCTAAAACTATACATAGTTTACCCTTTTTTTTTTTTTTTTTTTTTTGGTCTTTTTCGTTTTTATCGGTACCAGGGATCGAACTCATGACTGGCTGCTTGAAGGCAGGCGCTTATGCCGCTGAGCTAAATCCCCAGCCCCTTTACCCTTATTTTTTGCCAAAAGGTAACAATGTATACAGTTTTTGAAATACTGAAAAGTCTTTAACACTGAAGAGTAACAAATTCACAAAGACTATTTCAAAGAATTCTTTACCTTATTAACATATATATAAGAGTAGTAAAAACAAGATGTTATAAAGTAAAATAACATTCAGTTGCAAATATCTACTGTTAAATGTTAGAAATATAACATCTTAATAAATTTCATGAGTCTAAAAGCAAGGTCTTCTTTCATGGGCAAACATTAATCTGGGAAATGTGAAATGGCATTGGAATGTACTAACTAGATTAGTGAGGTCCCGCCCCATAATTAAAGTATTTAAACAAAATCTGGAATTCCACAGGGGGGATTCCAAGACTTTCTCAATGGGAAGGATGTGATGAATCAAACTCATGATTCTGTTTTTCATTCATACCTAAACAGCTCTGAAAGTAACCTTCTATTAAACAATACTGCATGTGTTATTCATAAAATGACCTTGATTCATAAAGGAAACACTAAACTCTGATCAGCTACACATCACTGAATCTGGCTGGAGCTGTAAAAGCTTGTGGGAGACTGTATTCGTCTTCCAGGAGTGGACAATATTAATGAGCAATCTGACCTGGCTAGACAGTTCTGGCTGACTTGTGGAACTACCCAGTGTCTATTAGAAGGCAGGATTTAAGATAGAAATGCTGGCCAGAAACAAATTTATCTCCAAAGAAGAAAGGCTCAGCATAGCAGGTAACTTCCTCACAGTATTTCGGTCAAATGGAAGAATGGTTCTAACGTTCACCTTGATTTGGTCCCAACTCCAAAGGGAGGTGTTCATCCTGTTTCTGCTCAGAACACAATTTGGCTTGGCTCAGTACATGCTCCAGGAATATTTTTTGAGGGTTCTGAACACCAAAACTGTCCATGGCGGCATTGAGATGGGTGTGTGTGTGAGTGTGTACCCAGGAAGACACAGGCTGTATCCAATAACAAAGATCCTGCATACATTTTTGCATGCAGTGGCCTCAGAAGCTGAAAACAAGTAGGTAAAGTCTTGTTCATGAGCACAATGAGGTACATATATATTGGAGAATCTGAGTAATAAAGAGGAGAGATCGATTGGGAGAGATCTCCTTGGAATCAGATGAGGGTGAGAAGTTGGTTCTACAGGGGGCCAGCTTATTATGCTAAACAAGACCTGTTAGTGGTTTTAAAACAAGTCCGAAAATTTTCTGGCACTTCTTCCATTGAAAAGTAGAAGATCTCTATCCCCCTTTTTAAATTAGTGGCTTAGTGACTTCCCTGTTTTTAGTAAAATGTAGAAGAATTGACACTGTGTGAGTTTGGAGGCAGGATCATATGTAACATACAACATTAGTATCTGAAGTTCTTAGCTGCCTTGGAAGAAATCTGACTACCCTTAGGTAATTAGAAAGTTGGGTTAGAAAGAAGCTCAGGCTGCACAAGGAAAATATTTTTTAAGTGGTTTGGATGACTGACCCAGCTGAGGTCCCAGGTTAAACCACCAGTCATATCAGTAAAATGCTTTCAGAGTATTCCAGTCCCCAACTACTGAGACTTGTCCCCCAGGCACTTTTTCTCAGCTGAAGTCCCAGAAATGAAGTCCAGATAAGCCATCTTTGCTATGCCTTGTCTGAAGGCTGACAGAGAGTGACTTTACATTTTGCAAAGGGCAAAACTATAATGTTTGAGCCTCACAACGATACAGTTAACTAAGTTGGACTGGCATTGCTATTTGGTCATTTTACACATTAAAAAGCAGAACAACAAACAGAAATTTTATCATACCTGCTTTCAGATTATATAACTAAGATGTGGCAGGTTGACACTAAGGTACTGATTCCAGACTCCAAGATTATGATTTCTTTGTTGTTTCTTATACTGTGGCAATGTAGGATGGCTTATGAAAATGGGATATATTCAAACCTTGAAGACAGGATGAGAAGATGAGAAGATGAATGAATGGAAATTAACAAGAGTCCATCTTAAATGGGTGAGATCACCCATCATGTGGAAAAGTAATCATATAAGATATAGTCTGGGTGCCATAATCCCAGCACTCTAGGAAGCTAAGGCAGGAGGACGGAAAGTTTGAGCCCAGTTTGGGCAACTTGGTGATTTCGTAGGACCTTGTTTTTATTTTTTTTTTCTTTTTTAAATGGTGAAGGTCAGGTTGTAGCATAGTGCAAAGGCTCTAGGTTTAATCCTTAGCTGGGGGGAGGGAAGATATGAACTATCTTTCTATGTTGATGCTAATAAATAAACCTATCATTTAAAATGGAACCAATGAGGGGAAAACTTAGAATTTTTCATGTCATATAATTTAAGGGGCTAATTTTTAAAAAATCAAATAGGACACTTAGAGAATAAAATAAAAATAACAAACAAAAACATCTCCTGCCAGTTATGTTTCTGATAATCGCAACGAAAAAGGGTCCCTTGACTGGCTGATGGTGATATTTTAGTCTGCTGAAAAATACGTCATGCTTCAGACTAGCATAGCTTCATGAAATTGCCCACAGGATTATCTTCATTTACTCTATTATTAGCCAAAGTACCTTCTGATTTAAATTCAGTTCCTCAAGAAAAGTTTCCTACTTGGAAGAGAATATACAATGAAGTTGACAAAGCGTACAATGCTCATTTGATGGGCAATGTTTTTAAATGTAGAAAATATTAGTATTCTGGTTCATAAAATAGCCACATACACAACTCTATCCCTTAACATCAGCCCGTAGGCTAATGGTGATCAGATCAAATAAGCATACTACTTCAAAAGTCAGTAGGACAGCTTTCTCTCTCTTCAAACATCCTAAATAACGAGGTCACTGTTGACACCCTCCATCTCCTATGGAAATAACAAAAAGGCATAGATCAAACTTTTATAAAAACGTAATGGTGAGGTCACTTTGACAATTGACATATCGTCAGTAACATCTGCTAGTTTCTGTTTCTCCCTTAATATTTTCTAATTATTCACTTTCTTTTAATGTATTTTAACAGTATATTTTATTTTTCAAATTCCAATCTGTAATTAAGTATCTTAAAGAGAATATATCTCTTTTCAACTAGTTGTTTCGTACATACTACCCAGAGAATGCCTTGGAATACTGTGTTCACGAAAGACGCAAATATATATTTTCACTGATTTTCTTCAAAACAAGAATTAGTTCAGATACTTAGGATGTCTAGAATACTATGTGCTTTGTATGCGCCCTAATGCATGGAAAGCATTCGATTGATATTCGTTAAATGAATGAATCTACAAAGAGGATAATATATCGAAAGAAAGTTCTTTCCTCAGTGATGAGAAAAAAGCTTTAGGATTTCCATTTGGATACATTCTAACTGGTCATAACCTTCAAGGAAAGGGTTCAAGCACCATACTAACAATTTAGCTGTTCCTCGCTGTAATGGAAATAACAAGTAGTATGGGCTTTCCCGCCTTCCTCCCTCTAGCATCTCAATTTCTCGAACACCACCTCTGCGCTTCTAGTAAATCCCACGTTGCAGAACAGGCTGAGGACCAAGGAGATGAGAAGAAAGGAAATCGGAGCCATGGAAACCGCAGAGTTGCTGGAACATACAAACACGCTAGCTCCCTGAAGCTAAAGCACTCCTCTCCACCTACTGGGCAAGGGCGCTCCGTGGATGACGTCACGCTCCAGGGTGACGTCACGACCGTGACACGCGAGTGACGCTGTTGCCGCGGCGACTTCTCGTCGTCTCCGCCCCCTTCTCCCGTTCCCCCTCCCCGTGTCCTTCCCCCAATCCCCTCAGGCTCGGCTACACCGGGGGCCGCGGGCCGGTACCTGAGGTGGCCCAGGCGCCCTCCAGGCCGCGGCGCCACCCGGCCGTCCCTTCCGCGCCCCCGCCCCCGCTTCCCCCCCGCCCTCAACCTCCCTTCCCCCTCCCCGCCCAGCGGCGGCTGCTCCGGCCCGGCTCTCGGTTATAAGATGGCGGCGCTCAGCGGCGGCGGTGGCGCGGAGCAGGGCCAGGCTCTGTTCAACGGGGACATGGAGCTCGAGGCCGGCGCCGGCGCCGCAGCCTCTTCGGCTGCAGACCCTGCCATTCCCGAGGAGGTGAGTGCCAGCGCCACCCGCCGCCCTTCCCGGCTCCACTTAGCCGGCCGGTGTTTATGTGGGGAGAGGCGGCGGTGGGGGCTCCGTGCCCTCGGCCACCGTCCGCGGGCGGCCCCGCGGCGGGGAGCAAGGTGGGCATCGCCCCGGGCCTCTCTCTGACCCCCAGCTAGGCGCTAAGTAAACACAGCGGTCAAGGGGGTTCCCTGGCCCCCACTGGAGCGCGATTGGGGCTGCGGCGGCGGAGCAGGCGTCTGTCAGTAGGGGGCGAGACGCGGGGCTGTCGGGGAAGGTCATGCCTGGCCGAGGCATCCAGCCCTGCATCCCTGAGATGTTTGCCTCGTGCGGGGTAGGGGTGAAGGTGGGAGGCAGCAGCCAAGTGGGGGATGCAGTTTCTTGGAGGCCAGAACACCAGCCCGAGACAGTGCTTGAGTGATTATTGCACGGCGGTGGGTGACGGGCGCATCTTTCGGTCTCCACTCGCACTACCCCCCATCTTTCTGGCCCCTCCTTTCACTTTTCTACTTTTGGGGGGAATTTCTCATCATCAGTTTTACCCAGCGGATGGTTTTGGTTTGGTCTTGAATTTTCCACTCCACGCCGTTGCCATTCCAGGTTCTGGTTCCCAGTGCTGATGTTCATTCCAGCTCTGTCGCTGCCGATTATTCCCCCCCCCCCCCGTCCCATTCGCGTTCTCTGTCCACCCGTCCGCCAGGAAGGTCCAGTTGTTGGACCTGCCTACCTCCCAAGCGCAGTTTCCACGAGAGAGCATTTTTGCACGTTTCACCCTGGTCCTTTGGAGGCCCTGAACTCTGTCCCCTGCTCCTTGTCAACATCATCATCTATTGTTATCTTCACAAGTCGTTCTGAACACTTGGGTGCCTCACTTGCTGAACCTTGAAGCTGTCAAGATTCCGTCAGATTTCATTTACTTTGAACCCTTGCACTACTGACAGTTTTTAGCTAGTCTTTAGGTGTGCATTCACACCTCTCTTTCTCTTTTTTAAGTAGATTTGATTGCTTTCTCTGTGTGGTTCTCCTTTTTTTACTGTTTCAGCCCTTTCACTCTTTTCTTTCTTCAGTATTTGCTTCTTGACCTGTCCTTTGTGTTATTCAGCTTCTTGTTACCTTGTCAAATTACTTAACTTGCATATTTTATTAAAATGTACTACATTTAATTTTTAGTATGTTATTACATAAAATAACACATCATTGTGATAATCTGCGGTATAACTGTGTTTTGTAATTAATTAAATAATGTGACTTATTCTGTAACTTAACTCAAAGTTCTTTCCTTTTTGCTGCTTCATTTTTTTGTTTCTCAGGTCTCTTCTCTGTGTAGTTTTTCAGTTTTTTCCCCCCTGCTGCATCATCTTTACTTCAGAAATCCATCCAGTACACTTGCTTTATTCAGTAACAGTTTGCCCAGAGTAATTTGTTTTTCACTCTTTTATAGCGTCTTCCATCTGTGCCCAAAATGTGTTCTGACCATTGTTTGATCTAAATTTCTCATATTTTTCTTATTAAAGTCATTCCACTTTCTAGTGTACATTTCTGCTTAGATCAGTTCCTACTATCAATTCATCTTCCTCAGCTTCTTGGATTCAAAAGCTAGAGATCTTTCTCTTCATCTATTTCCTGGCTTATTCTTTTTCCCTTGTGCCCAGTTACCATTCATTCTGCATTGTTTCCTGGCTTTTGGTACTTCATTTGAAGTTTCCTCTTGTCTTCCCTGCACCTCCACATTCCTTCTTATTTATAAACAGTTTTTTTCCGTTGACAAGGAAATTTATTTTTAGGATACATTGTTTTTAATGGATTAATACTAGAGGTCACATCTGCTGTCTGGTTTCTTCAGGAATCGGATATGCCTTTGTCTTTTCAGGCACAGGTGCTTTTGGACTTTACTCTGCAGTGCATGTGTGGTTTTATTGAGTTGCATCTATGTAGAAGACTAGTGTGGATAAATTAGTGGGTAGGGATTATTAATTCTTTGATTATAGCATTCTTTACAATGAGTTTCAGTCCAACCTTTTATAGAGAAGTTCTCCTTTAAATAGTTTTACCCTGCTATCTTGGAAGGGCCAGATTGTTTGGAGCTCTAGCCTCAACGATTCTCGTTCAGTTGACCAGTGCTAGGGGGCTATGATTTTCTGTGTTTCACACATCTTGGACAGTTTTCACATACTAATGTTTGAGGACCTCCAAGCGAGCTAAAGTTAAGATTATATTGCCAATAATTGGAAAGCATGTCCCTAGCTCCTGAAACTATAAGCAAACACTTAACCCTGTATTTAGTTAAAAGACAAATTGTTGCTGTTCATGGTGGAGGTGCATGCTGTACTTGCAGCTACTTGGGAGGCTGAAGCATGAGGTTTACAATTTCTAGCCCAGGCTGGACAGTTTAGCTATGCTTTGTCTTTAAATAAATAGGACTGGGGATGTAGCTCAGGGGCTCAGACGCCTGTCTGGTAAGGGTGAGGTCGTGAATTCGATCTCTAGTAACAAAAATAAATAAATAAGTCTGTAGATGTAGCTCCATAGCCTCTGGTTTCACTCCCCATTACTGCAAAAAACAAATGTTTCCAACTGACTGTTTCACTCAGGTTTTAATGTTTAGTTTTAATGAATAATTTTAGGTTTTAATGAGTAGTTTTTCCTCAACACGGTGCCATTGTTTTTGATAATGTTGTTTGGTAAGAGCCGATAATGCATGTATTTGGTGGTGGGGAGTGGCTATGAATGATAAAAAGTGGATCTCTTTTGACTATAGATATTGGTGTTAGCGATGATAGAATAAATTCCTCTAAGAAATAATTTAAAATCTGAAGTTGAAGCTGAGACGTGGTAGCACATGTCTATATTCCAGCACTCTGGGAGGCTGAGGCAAGTGCATTACAAGTTCATGCCCATGTCTTGAGATTTAGTAAGACCCCATCTCAAACTAAACAATAAAAAGGGCTGGTGATAATGCTCAATGCAAAGACCCTCGGCTCAATCTTCAGTTTTACATACATAATTACGTATTTTAAAATTTGAAGTTGATGTTAAATCAGTGGAAACTTTAATGTACTGTGGTCTTTTATGTGAACTGTTTTCCTTGTGTTCACTGAAAGAGCTGTCTTATAATTGTCAAATAAATGGGAAGAAATGAAAAACTATGCTTGTGTGTATATTTTATTTTAAAGATTTTTTTTAAAAGTTTGTCAGAAGTAAATTTTAGCTGCTCTAAAAAAAGTGGTAATTACAGAGATAAAGGACATTAATTATAGAAAAATTAGAAAAACATTAAGTACAAAAAGTATTTTAAAATTCTGTACTGTTTCAACCAGATATAATTATCATAAACATTATGATATATTCCATGTAGTCATTTATGTTTGTGTAATACAATATGTGATTTTCTAATTTAAAAAATATAGCAAAACTTTTATGTATTATTAAAGTATGACTTAACTGCCATCATTTTTGGGATATTAAGTAGTTTGGGTTTTTTTACTGTTACACATCTTGGACATAGAATGTAGATTTTTAGTATTTAAAATTATGTTAAAGAATAAATAAATTTCATACACCATATTTGTATTACTTTGTAAATACTTGTAGTAGAATATTCCGATGATAGAAACTTACACTTTTGGCATAAACTGTATGACGAGTTATATATTCCCATGATGTTATTTTCTGACTGTATTGTATGAGAGTATAGTATGACCATACTATCACTTTTAAAAATGTGGTACCAGAATATATTTATTATCTGTTCCTTTTGTGCTGTGTTTCTGTAGAAGGGAGCTCATACAGTTTTATTATCATTATAAATTGTATTATTTTCTGTTTTCCAGATCTCTTATCCCCAATCTTGGTTAAACCGTGTAATTATAATAATATATCGACTAGGGAATATCCTGGGATGGGATCTCTCTTATAATGAGTCCACTGTATTAAAATACGTGATGCCAGGTTGGGTTGCATCATACCCCTGACAAGTGCTATTCCTACTAAGGGTGGCGCATGTGCAGGGCCAGCTATTGCTGTTGATACTTGTTCAGGTAGATTCGAAGGTTTCCTTTGGCAAAAAACTATAAAATACTAGTCAGGGTCCTTGGTCTTTCTATGTTTTCTTTTTGTACTCTCTCTTCTCACTTAACTCTTCCCTTCAGGCATTCATTCAACCCTTTTATTTAGAAAATTATCTGGACAAAGAAATAATAGAAGATTATCTGGTATGAGTCACTTATATATGCTGACAGTCAATTGTCAGTAAATGAATTGATAGAAAAATATTGGACTGTGTGCTTGAATTTTTGAATGTAGTAAATGTGAGCACAAATTTGACTTAGTCGTATTTGTACAACAGACCAGAAAAATAGTAGGCTGGAATAAGACTTGATAGCTACCTTTTAAAGTGAGGCAACTACTTAGTATTCTTCTTTTTTTCTTTTTTCTCCAATCATAAAATTGTTTTCCTCTTTAGAACTGAAGAAGTGTACTTTGTATGCTTTCTTGATATTATTTTGAGTATATAACAAACTTTCTGTCATAATCCCTTATTTTATGAAATTTCATATATTCCTAATTTTCTATATTTTAGCCTCAAAGTAGCATTAAGATAAGGCTTTCTTTCTTTCTATCTTTCTTTTTTAGCTGAGAGTGTAGTGCAGCCCTATAATCCCAGCCCTCAGAAGGCGGAGGCAGGAGGATCACTGCAAGTTCAAGGCCAGCCTGGGCTGTATAATGAGATGCTGGTTTTTTTTTTTTTTAAAGCTTTTTTTTAAATGAGTCGTTCCTATTAGATTTATGTGTTTTCTAGAAGCTAAATTGTTTGATACAACTTCTGAATTCAAAATAGGTGGTTTTGTTTGGGAACTTTTCTATCTAAACATCCCCCCCCCCCATTTTTCTTCTTTGTGTGGGACTCTGTACTACTGTACTACTGAGCTACATTATTGACTCTTTTTATTATTTGAGAGAGGTCTCATTGAGTTTCCCAGGCAGGCCTC